GGAGGGCGGGGGGGCGTACTCTTATGTTTTGCATGCCTTAGCGGTTAGGCCATTGACCACGCGTCCTCGAGAGGACGGAGGGTAGGAGGGGGGGGCATAGCGTTTGGAACAACTCTAACGCTCGGTGAAGGCCGCCGCCGTCAAGCTCGAATCTCTCAAAAACCTCGGTGAACGTCGCCACTAATCATGTGGGCTCTGACGCCAATGGTAGGCCGAGTCCACCCTGCACAGAACGAAAACCTTCAAACCATACGTGTTTGGGGGGGGGGACGGGCATTTAGCAAAGCAAAATGATCAAGCGCTTCCCTCGTCGGACAAAAACCGAACCATGGTAAACACGCATGCGTGGCACAAATGGTGCACCGGGACCGAGAGTTACTCATTCTGACAAGCAGGGTTTCCCTCACCTGAGGATAGTGGAAGGTAACCCCCATTTTCCCGATATTGCACGTGCCGGGTACCTCTCGACTGTGACCTCTTCGCCCGCTGACTCGCATAGAAAGCGGCTCTACCCTGCCGGCATCGAGCAGTCAAACAGTTCGGAAACAAGATATAACGAGCGAACAAAGATTGCCACACGCCAAACACTACTTTTGGCTCGCGCGACACCTTTCCGGATTACATGAACGGTTTTCGGCGCAGAGAAAGCTAACTAATCCTCCTGCTTTTCCCACGGAAGACCTACTTCACGCCTTCAAATCAATTACAGCGGTTTCAAATCACGTGCAGTAGTTCAGACTGTAGGAATGGAAACCACTGCATTAATTCGTATATGATGTTATGAGTATAACCTGTCGGCTGCTTCTTCCCACGCTTCAGCCAGGTTTTGCTCTGCGTTGTCGGGTGTGATGGAAGTGCTAGGAATGCCTTCCACTGATATAGCCGAAGATCGCCTAACATAGTGCACGAGACGGGCCGCATGGAGTCACGTTGATAGTCAAACAGGTGCTGTTGGTGGTGGCAGTGTTGGTGTTAGTGTGTTGGTGGCAATGGTGGTTTCATGGTGTGAGTGGTTCCACGTTGTTTGCATTACCGAAAAAGTTGAAGTGCGATGTCCTCATCGGCAAGTAAGAAACCTTGCTATGGTCATGGCTGAACGCCGCGAGTAAACCATGCGCACATAGGACACAACTCCGGCAAGAGGCAGCGACATAAGCACACTAAGCGACCGCATGGCACGACTTCTGTGTGCCGTTGTTTGCCAGCCTTGCATCACACCACCGAGTCTTGCTGACACGCATGTGTTCGCACTTGCTCATGCCACGCGCCCTCCCAGACCACTCACCCCCGCCCGCCGCTGCTCCCCAGGCGCACGAGAGACAGGAGAATTTCCGCCTTGCTTTCCTCCGCCAACAAAGCCACCGCCAACCCATCCATCGCCGTAGACGTTGCAAAGCAAGCTGGAGCTGCCTCTCTTCCAGGTAATACCACCGTTTCCCTTTGCCCCTCTGGTCCAAAACTTTGCGCTGGCACCAGAATAAGTGGCATGGCCATAGAAGACAGGCCTGATCATAGGGAGAACAGGGCGTTCGCGCAGCGCGGGGGGGTTATGGGTGTCCGTTTACACTAACTTGGGAGAAAAATAACTCAGGCGGAGACTATTCATGCTCCTCTCAGTCGATTGAGATCTTTTGCGGGGACACACGACTTTGGTACTCAGCTATGGAACAGAGTAAATTGGGATCAAGCATAATGTCATAAGGCGGTACGCTTGAACGATAGGGGAAGCTGAACATCACGCACTCATTCAGGGAAAAGTGATGCTGTAGAGCCTAAAATTGTATGCATTCGCGGTTGGTTTGGGGCCAGACCCTGACATTCCACGCCCATCTACTATGGGTCATTGGGAGGCGTCCGAGTATTGGCGTTCGTTTTGTCTTTCACGAACTGCGCTGGACGACGGGGGCATAAACGGGAAGCCCATTGTGGTGGGCTCGCTTTGGCGAGTGATAAAAGACATGGTGTCGACATTCAACGGAACTGCGTCACTTCAAACGTTGTACAGCACACGACCTTTGGCACGGCACCAGCCCGACTTCACCTAACGTAGACATACCTTGGCACTCGTCTGTCTTCTCCGAAGGTGGTCCAAACGCAACCATGTCCACAAGATCATCAAGAGCCTGCTGGTGTGCACTTTTCTTCCCCACCGCGTCGCCGTCACCTCCTCCCTCGCTGCCCCCCCTCCCCCCTCCTTCGCTTGCGGTTGCCCCCTCTCCCCCTTGAACCGACTCCGGAACAGGCCACCGCTCCTCCTCTCCTTCCCCCTCAGCCTGCTGACGGGCGAATTTTCGTCTTTCTTCGATCGGAGGAGAACCGTCCTCGTCACGCTTTCCAGGTCGTGGCAACCAGCTGGTCGGTCCCCCCTCAGGCGGAGGCTCGTCCCACGGCAAGGCAACGCCCGGGCGCAGCGACCGTCGCCATCGTCGCCGCTGCCACAAGCTCTCCGCTGTCAGGATCACGCGCCGCCTGCCCTCGTGCCGAAGGCTTTCTCGCCCCTCTTGTCGACCATCCATCTCCGGGGCAGTGGAGAGACCCGTTGGGTACGCGATGACCTCTAGCAGGACGTTGCCCGCGGTCATGGCTGCTACCTTCGCGGCGTCTTCGACGGGGGTGTCGGTAACGCTGGGAGGCGTTTTTCCTCCTTCCGAGGAAGCCGACGAGGCAAACACCTGTGTTTTGTTTTGTGTGTTCGACCGGATTCCAAGCATCGAAGGGACATGCCTGTCATGCGCGTGGTGACGAGTCAGTTGTGTATTGAGAATACAGCAGTGCATTTATATTTGGCGGTTATTGTGCTGTTGACGGTTGAACGTGAAATAAATCAGGACATATACAGCACCAACACCAGACCAAACATGAATAGAAAAACGTCTTGGGAAAATACGCACACAAGGCGGCACTGCAGCAACACCTCCCAAACCGAGCTTCATATGCGTATGCCCTTGTAACATATCCTTCCATCTTCTTGCCTTGCAACGAACGACACATCGTTGCTGTAGACCTGATTCTCAACCTACCAATATTGTCACAGTTGCGGCGGCACTCTGAACCTGTTCTATTGAACTAGGACAGAAGCCGATCGTGTCGCGTAGCGACGCCAGAATGGACTGTAAGTGTGACGATATCAACATCGATGACACCGACCTAAGCCGTAACCACAACTACAGGGGCAGGAGCGACAGCAGGACGGTGGCAGCAACACTGACAACAACAGGGACAAAAAGAGCGACAACGGCAGCCAGCGACGACGAGCTCACCTCTACTATCGACAACACTTTCCGGGTGACTCCACCACGTTCATCCAGCACGGGGACCCGCACACCCCTCCGCAGCACCAGCAACCTTCCTAGCCCTCCTTTCTCCGCGGATTCGATTCCTGATGGAACGGTTGCTCGTCCGCTTTCTACCTCCCCTCTCGTCTGCTTTGACGACGCTGAGGCAGCGTCCGCAGCCCCCGGCGAAGAAAGGGACATTCCCGCCGTCGACAAAGGGTCGTGCGCGGAGAGCGCGTCCCCTACAACCTTTGCCACCGCCACGTCCCCGACCATCACTCGGGTTTCCGACCCGTCGTACGGATGATAACTCGAAATCATCCATGTAGCTTCTGGCGGCGGCGGCGGCGGTGGCGACGGCCGCTTCTGTGATGCAGGTCCCGGTTGGTCTATCAGTCCAGTTGCATCCCCTCTGTCATCCTCCTGCTCTGTAGCGACTAACGTTTCATCGCTCTTGTGTGGAGGCTCTAGATCAGCATAGTCAGCGGAGCCGCCAGCCTCGCCTGGTGTGATTGCCATGCCTGGTGGTGGTAACGGCGGGGGTGGAGGTGCAAACCGAAGCACGCGGAGCACCCTCGTGGACATGTCGAACCAGGAACCTGCATTTCCCCCACCGCCCGTGGCACTCCTGCGTCTCGACGCGCCACCTCCACCGCCACCAACGCTTCGTCTAGTACTGCCGGGGTCACCGGTTGAAACGGCGGCAAGGCGACGCCGCTCCGAGGCTAGGACGGCCAGCGCCGGGGACACATGTGGCGCGGGCGGAAGCTCGGGCGGTTCCCCACCTTCTGCCCCGTCGTCGGTCAGAGAGTTATGTGCCGCTAATTGAGTCGCCCCCCCTCGAGTCCCTGCCGACCCTTCTCCCTCTAGCCGGTTCGAGCTTGTGGCGGTTTCAGAACTTAGCTGTCCTGGCGATGACGAGGAGTCCTGAGCAGCGCCAGAGTAAAAAAATGCTCCTCGGAAGGCGCGCTTGGGCTGGACGGACTGGATTTGCGACTGTGACGCGGCGATAGCGACGCTATCCCGTCTGCCATCCAGCCCCCTGCGTGACGGGGTTGCGCCCGGCGTCGTCGCCTGTAGTTGGTCGATTTCGTTGCCGCAACTATCACCTCCACCACCGCCGCCACCGCTACGATCACCACCACCGCTAAGGACACCGCCACCATCAACGGCACCGACACCGCCCTCTTCTTGGCTGACGGTGGCACCGCGAACCATCCGATGAAACTCCGGGTGGTGGGCGAGGTTGGTGAGCCACACCGTGTGTACGTCGGTGATGAAGCGCTTCATCTTGTTGCGGGCGCTCGCGCGAAGCAGGCAGCGGGTGTTCTCTCGCTCCAGCTGGTTGTAGTACGCGACGTAGAGGGGGTGCCGGTCCACCTCTGGCACCGCGACGACCTTGGCACCCGAAAAACCGCACATAGATGTAGTGGCTAGATAAGCGCCAGAACCAACGGTACGTACCCACGTCCACGTTGTGGGGGGGTGAGGATAGCTTCTTCTGATATAGCGTTAGTTCCAAGGAGGTTCTGCTATCTTTTTCTTGAATTCCCTGTTGTTGTTTTTTGTAGGCTCTACCCCGTATTCACCTCTCCCGGCTCCCTAGAAATACTTTTTCTCAGCGGGTTTGTGAATAAACTTGCCGCTTTTGATCGGTTGTGACAACAGAATTCCATTCCTTTACAACTGGATCAAGAAACATGAAACCGACAGTTACAAGGGCCACAACCAGCGCACATTAAACACAACGAATCACACCCGAGCGAAGCAAACCCTTACACGCGGGTAATAAAGTCTCTTCGTTGGTGGGCGGCTGGATTCTTGCTTCAGAATCACACTAGTTGTCACTCACTTGGCCATAGTCCTTCTCGAGCGCTTCCGCAACCTGCTCTTCGAGGCGGAACGCCTGGTACGCCTCCTCCCTCTCCCGCTCGGCCCTGTACTTGACCCTCAGGTCATCCGAGGACCATGACGTAACGCCCTGACCCTCCGTCTCTGCCGCGCCCTTAACCCTCTTCGGCTTACTGGTGGCGTGGGGGCTTTTCCCGGCTGATCGGCCTTTTCCGATAACCTTGGGTATGATTCAGAGACGGATGAGGGAGCCGCGCGAAGCGAATGGATAGGTGGTGTATAGAGGCTGGTTATGAGGAGTAAAACTAAGGGGGAGTCCTTTGTCATGGCAACTCAGGGCCATAGGTGAGAGGGTTTTAAAGATAGGCTGACATGAAAACCACCTATGGCTGATAGGAAACATTTACATGCAGAACGTAGACGACCCCCCAGGAGCCTTCAGCAACGGCTTGAAAGGAGTTGATCGCCTTCGCGGTAGCAGACAGGCTTCGTTTGTGTCAGTGTGAAAAATTATACTCGAATTTCCCTCACTATGCCCCGACTTCCGCCTCAAATCTACTTGGATGAGTCGTGGGGAATCAGCAATCAACTTTTCCGTAGCAGAATGATGGACACATAAAAGCCAAGGTATGGCTGCAATATGTTTGTCCGTGTGCCTTGTGCATGCCGTTCCCGAGGCAAACTAGCAAGCACGCACGCCACGGTTGCCGCCGCGCACCTTCGAGGGGTTGACGACTCGCATGTTGGCAATGCCCCCGGCCTCCTCCTCATCTTCCCCACCGCCTCCGGCACCGGCGAGCGGATCATCATCCTGATTGGAAGCTCTTCTCGGCGGCTTCGTGAGCTCCGCCATTGAAGCCGAAAATAGAGGACTGAGTGGGTTGTGGACAGCCGGAAACAAAATTGGTCAACAACCACCATAGGAACAGAACTGTTTCACGGGAACCGTTCACTCGCGAGTGCCAGCGTTACGTTGACCGCTTCTTTGGCATGTGCTCTGATCTACACGCGGTAAGGACTAATTCCTCATGATGCGTCACAAGGTGGGGGAATAAAAGCGATTCAAAAATGAAGGCTTCAAAACCACTCGACGCTGCAACAACAATGACAACCTCATTTCCAATGCCATGACCGACAACCACATCAACATCAACAACAACAGCAACAGACGGCAACAACAATAACAAGTACTCCGACCAACCTGAATGTCAAGCGACCATCTATCTTGGCCACGGGGCCACCTGTCCGGGCCATTCCTTTGGCCCCATTTGCTCCCGACCCTTCGCCGCCGTCTCCAGTCCTGCTCCGTGTTTGGCCGGCACCAGGAGTACTATCAGCGGACGGGGGTACAGAACGAGAGGTGGCAAGAGAACATAACCTCGCAAGCGAAATTCCTGTAGATTTGGGCGAAGACGTGCATGTCTCCAACATTTGGCGCCCTGAGTGACAACCTGGGCACTCAGCTACGGGATAAATAAACCACAAGGATAGATCCATAAGAAATCTGATTGTCACACTAAGCCGCTGCGACCCTCAAGACACCACGGGTGGTGAAGATGCGCTACCGTACCCTTGTTTCTCACCTTAGCGTCAGACCACCGGCGCGGCGGCTTATTTGTGGTAATCTCCGACGTGCCATCCCGGCCCTGCCTCCCGCATCTCTACCTTCGGCGGCAATTGTACCACCCTCGCTTAGCGCTGGAATACTCGAGCCTACGTCATACGAGTATGGCCGCATGATTGACTATTAGTGCGATTTATTCGCGACGCTGGTAGTCAGGGTTTTGGACAGGAGCGGAAGGTTGTCGAGTTTCCGCACCTCTGGACACAAGCCCGCTAGGGTTGCGGTTAAGACGAAAGTGATCGAGGCTTAGAGCGCTGCAAAAGATGTTTGCTGCTACATAGAAGGGTTTAAACCTTGATGTCCTATTCACCATGAACGTACATAGTGCATAAATCTTTAACCCCAACCCATGTACCACCACCCGAAAAGGTCAGAGACTCGTGGGTGTCGCGGTACCGACACGTACCAGTTGCTTCTGAGCTGTCGAGCCGGCGATATCTCGAAGGTCGCCGTGTCGCCCTGACACCAACCACCATTCCAGTGGGGGCTATTTCCATTGTTTTGGAGGCCAGTTGGTCGCCCCATTCCTCGGTCTCGGGTGGAACCTTCGCAAGGGCGGGCAAAACGTTAAGGGCAGGATAGACTCTCCCAATCTCCAACTTGAGCGGGGCGCCATAGGACTCCAACACCTCATGCGAAAACGTCTTTCGTGACCTCGCGTGGATCTCTAGGTTTACTTTCCTGTTGCAGTTGGGGGGAGTCCGTCTGGGTCCTGATACACGTTGCTAGCCAAGGTCCACGTTATGGTTAGCACGGTCATACCTTTCGGCCACGTTATGGCTGAATACGCCTGTATTGATGGTTCGCACTACCTTGATGCGTGCGCTACGTCGTGTTGACTGTAGGCGAGCATCAGCTCAATGGACAATAGATGTCCTAGCCGGGCATACACCAATCGAGATGCCGGTCAAGTTTAAGCAAACATGCACAAACCAACACGACGAACGATGTATTTGAACGATGTAGTAGGCGTGATATTGTACACATCGTGCAAATGTCGGCCCTGACTGAAATTCGTTGTATATCCACAATGCTGCGCTGTTGATACATACCTCGATCACAAACTTTTTTGGCGGATCGACATCGGCGTTAGTCCCAAGCTTCCTTGCCAAGTTCTGCTGGCGCTGAAGCTCTTGCATGCGTTTTTTGTTGGCGTTCGTGAGAACCTGCGTTGCACGCATACGACAGTTTGGTACATGCTGTTATAAATAGTGAGCGCCCATAAGTGAAGCGTATGTATACATAGTCTATCGGCATCCCGCACCTTCCGCCGCGATCTCCTTCGCGCGCAAACATCATTTGAACGGTGCATCATGTTAGATACGACGACCGAAACGAGAGGTGGCACCCACTACAGTGAAGCGTATGCCTACAACTAATGGGTACCGTACCTTCCGTGCCCTCATCTCCAGCCCACGGATAAACTCCCTCGTGTCATCATGCGCGGTGGTCGTCATTGATCCCAAGCCAGAAATCATGGTGTACTCGTAATAGTAGATTCTCAGCGGTAGAGAAACAGCAGTTCCACTGGGTGCTAGAATCACACCAGGCCCAAAGATTGGCGAGCGAGTACCAACGCTGTCACCTCCTGAGCAAGAGGAGGAGTAGGGGAAAGGAGGAGAATACGGGGCGGGGGAAGCGGCGCAGTTAGGTTTTTGTGCCCGTTCGGGTGAAACGCAAAGAAATGCGGCGAGTATCAGACAAATTCGACGGGCGCGGGCGTTAGCTTCCCTTCTTGCCCCCGCACACCCTGCCGTCCCGCCCCTATCTCTTGACCGCTATCCCGAGTGTGCTAAACTCAGCACACATACATTTCAGTTTCGCTGAATCGAGTAGCCGTAAGGTACCACGAAAGGGAGAAATGGTGACAGCCCGCCGCAAAGTCAATGTTTCGACCCGGTCACCGAAGACCGGACAGCAAGCGTCGTCGAGGCTGCGAACTAGAGCGAATATCGGAGAACAATCCAGAAGCGTATCGGCGACCGCCGATCATTCTCACGATTCAACGACTCAAGGCATCGGTAGTGAGCTTCGTCCGGTGGCGATGCACAGACCCCCGTACATGGACGTGCAGACGGTAAAGACGAACCTCACGGTCGACCAGGCGGCGAAACTCGAGGTGAATAATTCGTATTCGAGCCATTAGCTCTCTTCAGCAAGGCACATGCCTGCCGTTGTCTGACCTTCTCAGCCTCTCAGAGACAGGATGCCATAGAAAGCTGTTTATTGGGTCCGTTCTCCCATGCGGTCCAAGTTCTTCCTGTGGTGTAGACTGGTATACAGAGGTGGTACATGTACGTACTATTGCCGTGTCGCACTTGCGTTGATGGAAACTCTTAGTGGAGGTATGAAGGCATTATTCACTCAAGCTCAAGCTCGACGCCTGACAGCGCGGCACTCTAAACTCGAGATGAAAACATTCACGGGCCCCGCCAGCCCGCCGCCGGGCACCCTTTGACCCCCCTCTTCGCGGAGCCCGCGGGACGCCCGCTCTCCGCAAGACCCCGACGTCGCGGGCTCAGGGCGCGCCATGCACGGCGAGCTGCCCGCACCGGCAAATACGGAGGAGCCGTTCGCACCTGCATCTGCGCTGTTCGGTCACGATTAAGATTCGCGACGCTGATTGGATGAGACACCGCGGTGTGTTCCGCTCCGAACCAACATCTTTGTAATATTTCGTGTAGGGATTTGTTGCATAGAGCTGTTGATATGCTACGTGTCTTCCATCCAGTTCGCATGAACCGCAAATATATGCTTGCTGTACATGATCATTATTCCACAATCACCACACGCATCCTCACACTATTACCACCGACGCGAAGCAGAGCGATTATATCACGAACCGACGCGCAGCAGAGCGATGATAATACGAAATATATATGTGTGGTGTTTCGGAGTTTTCGCGCGAAGATATATGTCATGCGGTGGAATTACATTTTATGCGTTGCGTGTGTCACATCACAATTTTCGTTGGACAATCAAATTTACACTCACTCTGGAATTTCCTAAATCGTGGAACGAGCACACAGCGAAGTCGTCCACGCACCACGCGCGCTTGCCCACCCTCCTCACAACCGACATCAACCACGAAAAGATGAAAGCGTGAACGCTCTCTCGAAGGAATCGCCTCTGAAACGCAAACAAGCCGGAGAATCAACGTCACACGTCAAGCCCCGTCCCCTGCTGTCACTGGCAGTAGAGGGCTGGCCCTGCCCGGACCGCGAAAACTGCCGCCACGGCCTGCTCCGCTCCACTTCTGTTCTACAGTAAATTAAACAACCACATCCTGACTAACTCGAGAACGTCCCACGTGGTATACGTGCTTACTTGTACGTCACACTAAGTTTCGCTCTCCGCAAAGGGCGGCGGAGCAAACGAAGGACCGGTGGGGCGGTAGCCCCCTGCGTCCGGAGCCCTCGTCTACAGTACATGCAATTCAGCCCGTCACGTGTTTGTGCAATGTGACCATTCTACATAGCAACGCAACTAGGCAAATACGCAAATACGCTAGCAGCGCTGTACACAGAGTATCATTGGAATATCTTGAACAATACATGGACTCCTTCCATGTGCACATCTGCTAGACGTGGAGATGAGGGGTCCACTCATGCAAGTGCAGAAACAAATGTACACGATTTGCATAAAATAGTGAATGTGAAATGTGCGTGATAGATGATCCACCGATGGCTACAATATGCTCCTCCTTCTGTAGCGACTGCGAAAACTGTTTTTTTTCTAGTGACTGAGAATAGTTCATACAGCTTTGGGAGGTTGGCAAATTGAGTCCACGGCCGCCCAACTCTCCACTCCACCCTTGCCCGACTGAGTTCCCTTGTTCCTACTTGGCATTCCTCGCCACATTCGTATGTCGAAAGCTAACAGCCGAACCTCTGGTGGTGGGGTGGTGTATCCTGCCACTAAATAGAGGGTTGGCTTTTTCTTTTCGTAAGAAGTGGCGATATTGTCTAGAGATTCTTCTTTTTCGAACACGTTCTACTTCTTGGTCGAGGCCGACAACAAACATAAGTATCATGTGGCAGCCGGAATATTGCGTGTTCGTTTCGAATGGCTGCAGGTTACCCTACGCGTTTCCCGCATCTCTCATTCCTCCGTCCCTTCTGTCCATTCTATCCTTCTTCTCCCTACCTTTCTTTCATTCCTTTTAACTTTCCTCGTTGTCGCCGCTCACGGACAGGGTCAATCCCACTGCCTTCTTCTCGTGGAGCCCGTTCTCCTGCCGAACCTGGGCCACACAGGGGTAGTCCGAGAGACTTTACCCGGAGATCGCCCCCTTTTCTACCCCAACGGATTCAAGAACTGTACCCTTGGCTCCACCGTTCGTAACGCCTTGTACCAGTCGACAACAAACCCGTCCGGGGTGACGGCAACAGCAGGAGTCCGACCACAATACTACGGGCACCAGCAGCAACAGCATGCACAAAGTCCTCCTTCCGACTGGGCCGGTAGCAGTGCATACTACAGCCTACCTTCGTCTGATGGCAGCTCCTGCTACGAAAGCCATAACCCGCGCTATAGTGGAAGGGAGAAACCCAGGTAATTCCAAAACCTTGACATTGCTGCCTGTTCTCCGTTCTCGATGTGTGAACAAATACAGTGAGATATCTGGGATCGACGCATTGTGTTGCAGAGTGGGAGGAGGAGGAGGAGGAGGTCTCATTACTAGTGTGCTGGTTTCCTGCCGAAGGTATTGTACAGGAACGAGCCCGACAACAGCCGATGAAGTCCCAATCCTACCCGAACTGTGGTCTTGATGATGCAAATCAATAGAACAACATGTCACGGGTAAAGAATATTATGTCTGCTCACCTTCTCTATTACTCAGTACGCTTCTACATGTCGGAATCCGTACTGTTCGTTTTCCACAGTGATGAGGCGTCCGCCTCGGCTGCGATCCCCGCGGGACAGGGAGGTCGATTCCCTACCGACGTCTGGGGCACGCCACCGGGTGTGGAGACAGGAGGCTCAAACAACGGCTCGAATAGCCGTTGCGGAAGAAGGCGAAGACTTGGAGCAGGAGTTCGAGGCACGGGAGAAGCGAGGACTGCGAGGCACCCGGACTCGGAGGGCACGGATTCCGGGAGCATCGTCGATCGAAGATTGCCCAGGTACACGGGGAGAGAATTAGGCGCAGCGGGGGTGGGTTGTTCATCGCAAGAGAGTTTACTCGCGGGGCGTACGGCGGAAGCTATTCGGGCTCAGCAACAGCAGTGGCGACGGCAGCAGCAGCAGCAGCAGCAGCAGCAGCAGCAGCAGCAGCAACAGCACCCGCGAACCAGCGACAGCACCATCGTCGACGACGAAAACGTCATCATCGCAAACGATCGTCGACCTGCAGCAGCGGCTCGAGAACACACACAAAAGAACGCACCGCTAGCACCAGACCGTCATTCACGAGAAACCCTCTCGGCAGCCTCTTCTACCGGCGCAGTGGAGACCAACTACAACAACCTGGCTGTTCCCACCGTTGGCAGCAGAGAGAAGACTTCAACAATCTCCGATTGGACCACTACCAACTCATCCGCTAAAGGAGGCGTTTTCATAGATGCGGCTGGCCGGGACTCGGAATGGCTGGCGGAGCGGCGGGCGGCGGACCGAGAGGCTAAGGACGTGCTGCGCGCCTTGAAGCACAACAGCTCCCGCTTGTCTTTCTTAGTAGGCAGCGGTTACTGATGCCACCCGAATGCCTACAGTGAACGGCTCACCAGTGTGCGGCTTCCGCCATCGATGGGACAGGTCTAGGTTTTCTTCCCGTCTTCTACGGAATCGATCATGAAGCGTGTCACGTTTGATCCTTGCTGTAGGAATGTGTGCACTAAACGTTCGCTAAGCTTGGATGAAGAGCCGCGTGCGAGCCGCAACGTCGCCATTTGCACCACCGACCCCGATCGATTCTCCTTGCCCGACCCCATCCGAAAGCGGACCATCGCTCGATCACTGGCGGTCACTGGTCGTCTGCAACACCATCTCGACTCCTTCCCGCCTGGAGGAACCCGAGGTTTGCAAATTACTCGCATAATACGCACACGGTCATCATCCTAAGTAGGGATAAACCGCAATTAAGTTGGGATATCCTCGGTTATTGTCTGGGTGACACCATTGCCGACCACCAAGCAAAACACCGAGGGGTTCAGAATAATACAAGGTTGCACAATTGGGACCCTCATCATGACAGCCACTTCTTGGGGAAAATTCCTCTCCGGCTCCTCCTCCCCCTCCTGGATAATACTGCATCCTCCGAACACATGATTGGCTAGCTATTGCACCGGTTCGGACAGGCGGCAGGTTCCTACCCGCCCTCTACATGTTCCACGAGATCTTGCAACGGGCGCTGGTTCCCGTGCTTGTACGTTTCCCCGACACTTGCACTTTGATCCCCATACGTGTCTTCCATACCCTTTCGTCCTTCAAATGAACGCCGTTTCTAATCAGTCTATAAATGAAAACCAATACAACAACCTACCACGAAAAACTTGGCAACCACCCTTTTTAGTAATCCGCCGCCCCCTCTTCGTCCCCGAAGATTGAGTCCCCAAGCCCGACCTCCTCCGGCCCTGGATCCCTCAGCCGCTTTTCCGCCACCACCTTCGCCTGCGCCGCCCACAGCGCCTGCGGGGTTCCCCACTCGTCTGAGGTGTGTGGCATGGTGTGCCTTCTGTACCATGTCTTTTCCTCGTCGAAGGATTCGGGGTCCGCTAGCCTTGCCTCTCTAACAGCCAGCGCTAGCTCCTCCTGCGTTGGTGTGCGCGTGGAAGGATGAGTGTCGTTGTTGCTGTCGCGGCTGCTCTGGAGGAAGGGAAGCTTGAACTTCATCGAACTTTCGCTAAAGGCTTGAGAACCAAACCACTTGTACTCCCCTTCCTTCAGTGCGATGTTTTGTGTGTGAGTGTACCTCTCTGTACCCTTTTTGACATCTGGCTTGGACCCAACCACAAACGAGCCTCGCCTTATCGCCGTCAGAGCTGCGCAAGGTAACTCCATCAAGCGACACACATCTTCACAAGACGGCTGGCGCCAACTCTCGCCCGCGTTGGGTCGCCACGAACACTATGATAGCACAATCAAAAAAGGACGGGTTCCGCATACTTGTCGCTTCTCAGCTATAAACCCGAACCGTTGGCGTTCCTCCCGCGATTCCCGCCACATGTGTGTGCCCGTGTCAACCACCAAGTGCAAGCCTATCTCCACCTCACAACATCGAATTTGTCGGGCATGGCACATCCTGTTTGGCTGGCGCCCCTCACCATATCCTCCAGCGTCCGAGCCTTGGTGAGCCTCGCCCTCAGGTCGGTCCTTACGGCTACGGCGGTGAAAAGGCACTTGAACATGTGCCCCCGGAGACAGGGGACGCTCGTCCGGCCACGGGAGTGCGGCGGCGACTGCTTCGCGAGGTCGATATACTCGAGGACGATATCGTCCTACATGGTAGATAAGTGGGGCATTGTTTCGGTTGTTATATGGCTGGATTGTTTGTTGCTGGTATTTTGGACACAGTTCAGTTCACTCCGCCGCCGAAGCCTCCATGTGCGATGGCGGAGAGAATCATAAACAATGAAACCGCGGACGCTTCGCACGTACGAAGTCGTTTTCACTTGTTTTCAAGAGTAAATAGGGTCCTATGAACCAGCTCTCACACCGCCATGTTCAACACGCGGCAACTCGAAGCAACGGTCCCGACAAGGATGAAATGTCAGTCAAAACGAGCGCACAAGCAGAGTACTTCCCTCGTTCTGCTGTCCGCCGAACTTCGACAACAACAAAGAATGGGGGAAAAATCCTAGAAAATGTGGACTGGTGTCAAAACACCAAGAACACTGGTGTCAAAACATCATGAACATCAGCATGCTATGGATACGAGCCTGGGACATCTTGAGCCCTGTAACCGTAGAAACGTTGTCCGAGAAGAGGCCCGGTCGCTCTAGCACGGCCTCCGATGACATCACCCCGTCGCAACCCGTTTCTCGGAGGCACCTGGCGCGCAACATCAACATGGATGAAAGAAAAAAACATGACAACAGCTTCCACAAACAGTTGCGGGGTGAAACGGTACCCGCAGGAGCGCACACACACACACACACACCTGAAGCCACTTTTTTTACACTAAATCGGCAGACGACTACGGTGGCGTTGCACGGCATAAAAACAGCGGCACGAGATGTCCTGTGCACGACCACGACCGCGATGACCACCACAAGGATAATAACAACACCATAACAACAACGAACATGCTAGACGATACAAGGCGATTCCTCACTCACCGCTCCACGTCTTCAAGCGAGGAAATGGCCCCGTTCGAGAACACCGGCACGGGCAGGGCCTCTTTTATCCGTCGAATCGCGTCCCAGTTGCAGCCAGCCGTGGCCTTCGATTTCTGCTCCTTGGTACGCCCGTGAACCGTGATGATCCTTTGGTGAAAGACATCAAAGCCCCATGGTTGGATGGAAATATTCAGAACAGGTCAACACGATCCTGGCTTAACAAACACCCAGGCTTAGATCGAGCTTAACGGAAGGGCCAATGGAGTGAGACGTATCGTATGTAAGATACAACACGACCAGCCCTGCTTCGCTCATTTCAACCTCACTTTATCTCCACATGATGAAACGCGATTCTCATGCCATGCAACGGCGGTGTTGGAACTTCCTCGTCCGTAGAGAGAGCTGTCCAAAGTCGTATCACAGGTAGGGGCAGCTCAGACAACTTCCACTACCGTCATCATCACCATCACCATCACCAACATCCCACAACGACATGAGAAGGAACGCACGGCGAAATGGCTCACCTAGCACCCGCGGCGACGAGCATCTTGCACATGGTGATGGTATCCTCCACCGAGTCTAGCAGCCGCACCTTGCACGTCACGGGGATCGACAGGTTCCTGAAGGCGGAAAAACAGCCCAACGAAAGTGAAAATACACAGCGGCGGCGGTGGCGGCATGCGTGTGTGTTTTTATTCTCAGGAGCATCGACCGCGCTAACCGGCTGACCAATGAAAAGACGTCAGTCTCAGTGCGGTAAAAAAAAAGAAAATATCCACCATCTGGGATCCCATGGGGAGGCGCCATGGGAGATACTACTGTAAGCTTCTCTGCCAATTAAAGACAACAACGGCAGCGAGACAGAAGGAAACTGTGTGTGTCCACACGAAAGATGAGTTCAGCTGATCAAGCGCTTCTAGTAGGGCATGCCGGGCTCAGCTTGCTGGAACAAACACCCAAACCCGCCCTTTTGAGGCCTCCAGCTCTACATACGTATATCACAGTACTGACACACACACAAAAGAACAATGTTTATTTTGCGGCACGTACTTGGCAAGAGTGCCGACGATATCCCTCAGCAGTGCCCACTCCTCCAGCAAGAACGCACCATACCTGCCTTTTCGAGCGATCCCTTGAGGACATCCCTTGTACGTGCGTGAAACATGTGATATTTGGGGGGGAGGGGGGGGGTGTACTCATAGTCGTCCATGCCGTAGTCGTTAGACGAGTCGCATGAAGGGTGCGCTGCATCCTGCTAAGGGTGTTCGGCATCTTGTGATTACTTACTTGCGTACGGATGACAGCTGCGAATGACTTAATTTATTTTCTGGTGTTTTCACTTCCAGAGACAGTTGGAAGCACTGTGTCCTCGAGAATACTTAACCATTTTAACACAACGTGGTGCGATCATCCCCCTTGCGCGGAGTGAGGGTTCTCGACCCCGCACAACATGACCTACTCGTCCAACATTATGGTTACCGCAAAAAAAAACAGAGGAAAAAAAAACACGGCAACCTGATTGCCGAGTTAACGAAGTGAACACGAAGTGAAATGGCTTGTTTTACAACGTTACCAAGCGACGAAAACCCAATCCCGATGGCAAACACCGAGGGGGGGGC